ATACAGTAACTGAAAAGCTATCTTAATAAGAACTAGCACTTTTAAGGCCGAATAAGAGAGTGTGTGTGTTTGAAGTATAATTATGTGTCTAGATGTTCGTTTTTAGTAGATTATGAGTGGAGCAGAAATTTACTGGAGAATATTGCTTCCCTGTGCATAGCTACAATTTCTCAACTGATAAAAGAACTGCTTGGTATATAAGCCAAAGAACTTTTTGAAACCAATCAGAAGTCAAATCTAGTTAATATTAATCCCTATCTTAAAGAGAGAAACAACCAGGAATTCAGAGGCCCTTAGAAAAGATGCTTTGAGCATAGCTGTGTAACGGCAGCACACAGCAGCTGTTGTAGGCATCCCCCAGCCCGAGGGAGGATTAAGCCCACCTCGAAGAAAAGCAGCACAAGCCATGTAGCGTTGATTTTTGTGGATGCATACACTATATCCCTCTCTGTGAAGCCAGGGAGTGAACAGCAAAGCTGCAAAATGCACAGTACATAAAGGAGAACCAGGAAGGGGGCGCTTTATGTTAGTCTCACAATTAACGACTAAGCTCTAGAATGAGTTTTATTTTCTGGTCCTAAACTGATGCACATTTTGGGAGAAAGGATGAGAGAGGCAGTGTGTCTCCTTGGTGAGAATCCTACCCAATTGCCATGACCTCCTGAATCAATGTGCAGTCGAGATAAGATGCGACTCCATTTCACCTCATTTCTGCTGTAAGCTCCAATCACTAGACTGACATCTCTCATGGACAGAGCAGGTCCCTCAGACTCCTGACACTACCAAACAACATTTCAGACATTTGATGTTGCCCTTGAAAGTTGAGGGGTCAACAGTGTGATGACCCCATCAGGCAAAGGAACCAACTCCACCAACTATCTTAAAGGTGATTTGTGTTCATTTTGACCTTCCTGCTTGGCTTATCCATCAAACTGTTCTCCTTCCCACCAAGTGAACAGAAAGGAGACAAAGTTCATCCCATACAAGCAATTCCAACAGACCAGCTCCTCACATATACACAGAGCTCAGCTAGGGTGATCATGTGAGATCAACAACCTATCAGTCTATCAGGAAGAATCTGGTCATTCATTCTGGAAGAAGCTTATGAGAAAAGCTGGAGCAAGACAACTTGCAGACGTCCAGTTCTGTCTTCACATCCCTCTAGGCAGGGCAAGGAGGATCCTGACCTCAGGAGGCACAGAATGGTTTTTGTTTCATGGATTGATTATTTTTCTCCTGGAGGAGGAGAAAGATCAGGGATTTGTGCTGCTGTTATTAGATGTATTAGCTGTCTTTGCTACTATATTGATCCCCTGCAGACCATGGTGGGAACGGATGGGGCAGCCCTTGGGCAGGCTTCATTTATATCTGAAAATCCTATGAGAAAGGAAAGGGCAAACAGTTTTGCTTCTCCCAGTATGAGGAAAATCTATTGTACACACTCACTGTTCAGTACATACAGGAGGACATTTGGGGATGTAGCTAAGAGAAACAAGGAACATTTTAAATTTGTGTTTTATTAGACTTCTGTATCAATTGCTTGCTTTTGCTTGGTGACAATCAGTAGGATGAGAACAGGTGCCCTATGGCATTTGTGCTAACTCGTGGCTGCGATGCTGTTGAAAGCACTGCCATTTTGTCTATGCAATTACTTTAGGATTGTGTTATGAAGCTACTGAAGTAAGACGTGCTAAGTTTTGTTTAGTGCCAAATGTATTTTTCTCACCTGAGACTTTACAATCACTCAATCGCTGAGTGCACCTGACTGAGGGGAAAGGCAAAATTACCACTGGCTGATTTTACTCTCCCAGGCCCTGGGAAAGGGGGTGAAGAGAAGAAAATTACACTGCATGTTTACACATGTCAAACCTGAAATACTGCGGGGAACCTGGGAGTAAAGAATGTTTCTCCATGTATCCAGTCTATCCATTTCCCCAGACAATAACCTGCGCTACAATGAAAAACTACCAAATACAGCCACTGACAGGAGAATCTGCTATGCAGTTCATACTTGCTTTTCTCTATCAATGGTCTGATGGCAGAGAACAATATATCTAATAGCATAATAACAGACACCATTAATACTTTAGAGGTTCAGTATAAAATTGCTTTCATTAGCATGTCAAGTGTTTATTTTAGCTTACTGCAAAACAAGCTCCTTACACACAGCCACTTATTTGACTTTCCTTGATTGCAGAGAGGGTAATAATGAAGAAGCCTACTTTCCCTGATCTTCTGTGGAGATTTTTACATGCACTGAAAAGATATTGCTCCATTACCTCTAGCCAATGAGCCAGCTTGGTGTGCTGGAGAGAAATATTACAGCAGAAATATGACTGAACTCAGTGGAATAGCTTTTACAGACTGCCACAAGGGCAGGCACGCGGCTGTGAAAATTGCAAGTTGTATTCCCATCTTCAGCCTAAAAGGACACCGACAACTAAGCAGAGGAAAAAATATCTGGTTCTTCCTGTGCCTTAGTGTGCATTTGTTAAATATTTAATGTCTGGTCTTGCTACCAAGAGGGAAATAACGTTTTATGTTAAGTATCTTTGGACTTTCATTGCTAAAAGCTATGTGTTGGGGTTTTTGTTTGCTTTTTTGTTGTTGATGTTTGGGTTTTTTTATTCTTGGGGTACATAAAGCATGTCAATTATCCCAAAGTCAAAATACAGTGGACACAAAGCACTTCAGTTTTACCATAAGGAAAACTCAATAAAGTTGACCTCAGGCAGAGTTTGGCTTTATCGTGTTTTATTGGAGACTGTTTATATGCATTAGCTACTCAGGTGTTCTTTTACAAAGATTAAAAAAAGGGAAAGGCAGCATGTTGGAAGTGAAGACAAACTCCTCCCTAAATAAAATTACTCAGATGTGTAGTTTTGGTCCATGTCATACTCAGAGCTTTCATAATCTCCAAGACTCCCCATTAAAAGTCCTTTTAATTAGTCAAACCCAACAACTAATAATTAGAAAGTACAGACTAAATCCTGTTCTCAGACAAATGCGTGCAAATCCCATTTACTAAAATGGAAGTGGCTCACAGGTGTGTTACATTAGACTTCAACCACTCGGCAGCTTTAGAGGAATTCAGTGTCTGGAGCCTAACTGCTTGACTCCTCTTCAGAACAGGGGCACAGGTAATGCCACAGAAACCCGATCCAGGTCTCCTCCCTGGCTCCCCTCAGCAAACACTTTAATTACCTTTTTGTTCCCCACCACAACAGCCCTCAAGTCTAAATTTAGACTTTCAATTCTAAACATTACTGGCCTGATTCCTGCCTAAGGAGAAGAGGACTCCGTTGCCGGCTAGATTAAATTCTGCAGCAGTGATTATGTGTTGCAAGCCTCAATTCTACATCAGCAAAATCTACTGTTTGGCATCAAATTCAAGGAGTTCAGGCGTTTTACAGCTCGAGGGTAATGCAATCATTCTATTGCCATACTATTTACTTCACCCTTCCAGTGCATTTGTTTGTGCTCCACAAGGTGAACTGTAGGTCACCAGGAAACATTGTCAGGCAGAGTAAGCTAGGAAACCATGTCTAGTAAGCCACAGAAATAGTGGAATAAAAGTTATTTTTCCACTGGAAAGCTTTGCAATACTTCCTCTCCTCCCGTTTTTTTTAAGACACTGATACAATGACAGCTTCTAGCCATACTCCATATAAAGATACCTCATAAAAACTATTACTGTTTCCCCTATTTAGGAATATGGAAAATGACACCACAATCCCACACGCTGTTTAGCCTGCACACAAATTGACATGTGGTTTGTCATCACCGAATTCTCTAATCCAAACATAAAATTGGTATTTTAATTTCAGTTGGGTTTAGTGCACCATGAAAGGAAAGGCGACCAGTCAGGATGAGATTTCTTGGGTCCACCCACACCTTCCAGGTGATGACAGCTATTGCTTTAAGTACTTGCCATTAACAACCAGTCACAATGTTAGTGACAGGATGTTACTAGCAGTTACTTAAAGTGATAAATGTTAACATTTTTCTGCTCTTTATGACTCACACTATACCCCAGTCAGAATTATTTTAGGAGCTGAATGCAAAGCGCTAGGTCAAAATGATGAAGATTGTGGAGCCACTGGTTGAGGTGCAGAATGAGACGTGTCATCTGAGGAACATTAGGTCAAAGAGAATCTATGATAAGGAACAGGAATGAATTAAAGATTGAGGTTCATCCTTTTATAACTGTTTCACATAAGGGGAATTCTCCAGCATTGGGGCATTTTGCTCTTTCCATGCATATGAGAGCAATGTGAACTCTGCACTGTAAAATTAAGTCTTTGATGTTAACATCCTTTAACAACCCTCCCAATGAGATACAGATTAAGAAAAGATACTTTGATCCAATCTTATAACAACATAGACCACATTTAGCTCCATACACATCGACAAGCAGCCCTGTGAAGACTCAAGTGCAGGAAAGCACTTTTACAGAACAGCACTATAGGCATTATGTTAAGCACCTGTGACTTCTGACCATGGATAGATGTAATACATGCATAATGTCTAGAGCCATGAACATCATAACTGGAATGGAAAAGGATACAGCAAAAAAAGTCTTGTAGTAAAGGAAAGCAAGCATTTTATTGCTCCATGCTTTGCAGCAGATAGCCGATTTACCTGATCAACTTCACCAACCAGATTATGACCCAAGCCCTGCACAACATGCATTACATTTTGTATTATTAATTACATAAAGTCAGAACAGGTTAAACATAAACCAGCAACAGTTTCTCATTACATATCAGCGATAATCAGTAGCCCATGACACAAAAATAGCATTTTTAATCCTGAATCTACCTTGAGGTGAAATACACTTCAGAATTACAATCCATGATCTAGGCCAAAAGGTACTTTCCCAGTGTGTGCAAACACTCCTAAATGAAAGTTTTCCAGTTCTTTCCCAAGAATTCAGAGTAAACGTTTACTCTAACATGCAAAATTGATTAATAGCTCTGAAAAGGTGTCAGACCACCTACCTTTAGCATCATCTTGCAGGTCCTCAGGCTGCTCTGCTTTGCTCTTTGTGGGAGATGGAGGCTGGCTTTCTTGTTCCAATCCTTTAAACAAACAGAAAAAATAATTGCATATATTACTTTGAAATTGTTTTACTGTATCAAATATTATCATGTACGATACCACAACTGTGAGTCCATATTATCTCAACACTCCATTCAATATCCAGTGCCTATCTTTCTATTATTAAAATTCATTACTGCATCATCTGGTATAAAAGTCACAATAGGTGTCTTTCATTTGGGACTGGATTTCCCCTAACTTTCACATGGCAGCAGTGAATAAAACCCATACCAAAATCATGTACTTCTTCACAAGCTCTTAATCTCTTCACAATGAAAAAGAAAATTAATAATGTTTTAATTTGTAGTTTTTAACATGATACATGTTACACTGCATTATGGAACTATGGAGAAAAATGTGAATGAAATTATCTTTCTCAGCTCAATTCTCCATTCAATGTTATAACACAGTAACAAATTAATATTGACTAAAATCAGTAATGAAACGAAAGGTAGGGAAGCAAGTCTGATACTGAAGTAAAGTTTAGGAAATTAAAACTTTACGAGATAGAAATGTTTAGGTTGAAAAAAATCCATTTCAACCTTTTAGCCAGAAAACAAGGGAAAAATAGGGGAAAAGGAAAACTTTGTAAGTAAAAATCATAACTGAGGCAAGGTAAGTTTAAGATCTCCCCTATTTGTGGGGACCAAAGTTCAGGGTTTGGTATCAGTTGGGCAAAGTTTTAAAATCATAAACTTTTTCTACAACATTTTCAAACTATCCTGTTAATCTTCACATACAGTATGAAATTAGTGTTTGTTTGCTACGACAGAGGCGCAAGCTGGCAGCTCAGAAAGGCCGCTCCTACAAAAGGGAGGCCAAGCTGGAAATTAATCATAAAAGGTATTTGTAAATTAAGAGATTTAATGAAAGCAGGTTCACTAATTAAAACATTCTTCAAACACTGTTCCTTAACCACGAAAGCAGAGACTGGCAGACAATTAAAACTCAATTCATTGCACCTACTGAACCTATTCGACCGTGACGAGAAAATTACTTTCTGTCTTTGGACTTCCCATCAAGACCCCGATTCCCTGTGGCCAAGTGAGGGCCTGGGTGAAGGAGAAGCCTAATGAAAACATACTTCTGTGCATGCTGGGAAGACACCTTGACCACTTGTAACCAGGCAGTTTCGGCAGACATATGACCTTGCTTGATTTACCCCTATCTGCCGTGATGTGAGAAAGTAATATTACCTCAAACTGATCGGCTAATTAGCACCTGGGAAAAAAGCTACCTACATGTGTATAATAAATTGCTCCAGTCTTCCAGAAACTCCTGTCTGTTCTGCTGTCATGCATACCCCACACAATCATCTGCTCTGTATGTTGCTGGAGTTTTAAACAGCTCTCAGCAGTCAGGTGCCCAGTTCTCATAAAGGACTTGGCTCTGCTAAGAGCTGTAGATACTACCCTTGTATCATTTACCCTTTCACTAATACATATACATAGAACCAAAATGCTGCAAGTTTCCAAGCAGGAGGTATGAAAGAAGTAAATAAGTATGTGGAAAGGGAACTTGCAGAGTCAAGGGGAATATTGTGCGCGTTCAAGAGACAAAAAGGGAGTCAATTGTTGGCTTTGCATGGAGCCCAGGAAACTCAGAAACGTTCTCTGCCTGCCCTCCCGGGAAACTGGTTCTTTTGCTGTACTTACATCCATAAAAGAGAAGAGCCACAGATTGGGAAGCTGGCAGGAATTTACAAGAAGCAACAATTCAAAATGCCAACATAAATTCCAAAATGGAGATTGGTATGCAAGTAATTAAATTCCATCTCACTTGCTTAATTTTAAGGAATTAGCATTAACCAAAAAAGCCAAACAGTATTGTTTGTGAAAATTCCTTTTAGAACGGAATTTGTGTTTCATTATAGAATTCCATATAGCTCAGAGCATGGAGGGCCCTTAGCAATCACTAAATAAAGCCAGTACATGCTTTGAGGTTTGGCTCAGGATCAGGAGGTAGACCTTTCCTGACAGCACTTAACATAGGACACATCGTGTGTCATGTCATCACATTTGCTCATCTGAATTTGAAATTCAAATACAATATTTTGAGGAAAACAAGAGTTTTCAAGTGCTAAGATGAATTTCTTTTTGGAGCAGTGAGGATGTAGGAGTAACCACAAGAAATACTGTGGGTAAAAAACAAGGCAAAACCTGCCAAATAAAGACACACTTTGTCAAACCTTTAAAAGGGTTACTCAGGAGCAATGGCGATAGAGTTCAACAAGAACTTCAGCACAAAAGAGAGGTCCTGAAAGTAACCAGGCTTTTAAAGACTGATTCCTGCCAACATTCTCCCATTCTTTTAAAAAACAACTTGAATATTTATAATGGACCATATTGACGTAGAGCTCCTTTGGTCCTAACACCACTCTGAACTACCTGCCATGCTCCCTTTTTGGTTGACAACAATTCACATCAGGGGACTGAATCAATAGGAGTGTTTCAATCAACACTCACCCCTCTAGTGAGGAATTTTATCACCTAACCAATCTGTGAGGCTTCCACTAGTCCCACAAGTCAAATGTCAATCAAGTTTAAGTGCAAATGTCCAGCCAGGTCTGTCAGGAGTATCTGAATATATTAGATAATATAACCAACAGCTTAATTGACAGCAGAATGATGGAGAGGGAGGAAGCTTACATTCAGAGAAGTCAGAACTGTTACTATCTCAAAAGAAATTATCTTTTTGCACTCTATAAAGAACCTTAAAATGCTCACAAAAGGCTGCAGAGGCAGTGTCCCAGGAGAACAAGATTTCAATCACAATTTCACTGCTTTTTAGCAGATTTCCCTTATTCCAGACACAGAAAAGGATTTGCACAGGCTTTAAAATAATGTCTTTGTATTACAGTCAAAATACAACTCTTAACCCTTTCTGCTCTCCACCAGTATGCATGTTTTTCAGAGCAGTTAGCCAAGTATTACAGGAATTTTGCCTGCAAATTTCTGTTTAAAACCAGCACACCCAGACAAGTGTATGAACTGATCATATTGAAAGCTTTTGAAATTGTGATCATCTGTGCAAAAAGGTTTCTGAGCTCTAACACTGGGAGAAATGATTCTTCTTTATAGGCTGATTCAGAGGGCCAACAAGCCACTTAAATCTCAGTCTGTCTCCAAGTAAGTTGTTCCCAAAATCTCTCACAACTTCCAGATCTCCCTGGTTACAAGTGATTGCTATTTTCACCTCAGGTAAAAAAGACAGACACCCTCCAAAACCTATATCCAAGTATAAGAGTGTGCATACAGTGAAACACATAAAGAAATACTGTATACAGCATACATAATAGGGTTTCCCGGAATTGTTCAAGGCCATTTTGGATAGGGCTTTGAGCAACCTGGTCTACTGGAAGCTGTCGCTGCTGTGGCAGGGGGGCTGGAACTGGATCTTTAAGGTCCCTTCCAACCCAAACCATTTCTTGATTCAATGATTCTCTTGTTAGTGTGAACGAGATCCTTTGTCCTGCCATTCTAGGCTGTAACAATCCGGACTGTGCTTCTCCCAATAGCACATGCTTCTATAATTTTCACACGCAATCACTGCAATTGCACATGCAATTATGGTAGTATTATTATATTGCATGATTCTGTGCATGGATATGTGAATCTATGGATATAAAAGCAAAGTCCTTCAGAAGTTAAAGTTTAGAATAATCTTCCCTTAATGGAGCTTGAAACATTAAGCATCATGACTCTGCAGTGTTAAATCACTGAAGTTAAAGGTAGACAAGACTATTAGGTCACCTGGTCCTCTTTGCTTATGTGGGAAATCATTCACAAAGGAAAGCTGAGATGTGGAACTGCACAGGTCCATACCCACTATTACTATATCTGCCCTTTTGACTCAAGCTGTTCTAACAGCAAACTGTGTGACATATGATAACATCAAAGCACTTTAAATTAAATGGTGCCGTTAAGTCAGCAGCTGCTAGAAGATACAGCATCCAGAATAACAAACCGATGGGTTAAAATCCTGTGAGTCAAACACCATTACAAGAGTGGGTTTGGGTATGTATATTTAATAAGACTAGGTTATTTTTATTTTTTAAATGTTTTTCTTATTTTAGTACATCCAATATACGCAAGTGCCGTTATGTGATTAACTGGCTAAAATAATCATTTATGCTTGTTGATTTTATAGTATTAATGTAGATATTAATGGACATTATCTGGCAGATGTAATTAAGGTATTCCCTTATTTATTTTGAAGAGAAATAATATAAAGATCTTTCTGCATGTAATGAGATATTTGCACTTCAAGGTGGTAGAAACACAAGACAGATTACTTTCATAATGTATCCATTACTCAATAATACACACATTTGGTCATCTGTTATTCCTTACTGCCAGCTAATTCTCTAGCTTTTCGCAAGGCCTGATCTGGTGTGCACTGAAGTCAGCAGACAGATTCCCACTGACTTCAGCTGTTACCAGACCAGGATCTGTGGTTTCCCCCCCCCCTATTCTTGTCACCATCTTTAAATTAGGACAGATTCTGTAACCTCCAGCTCATTCTACTACATTCTTCAAATAAAAATTGGCACAGATACAGAGTGGACAGCTCATTTTTGTCCTTATTCTCTCTGTATTTTCTCCTGTTTTGATATTGGCCCTCAGAAACACCCAACCAGTAGAAGTTGGAGGTACAGGAACTTAGGTGAAATTTAGAATACCTGGATCTCTGCCTAAGGTCCTACACATGTCTGCAATATGTGCTCTCCAGGAGCCCAACATTTCTTTTAAACATTTTTTTTTTTTTTTTTTTAATTCTTAAGTACAGGAATTGGAGAAATAACCCCAAAGCAGATTGAATATGAACAGCTCAAAAAACCAGGGTCATCAGTATTGGTGCCAACTGCTGACTCCATCTGTTGGAGTCATGACCCATGAAGTCAAGTGGAATGAAGAATGATTATTCAATTAATATCTTGAGTGGTGACTAGAAGTTGCTACTCTGTATTTCCCTTAGAACAGTGAAAAGCAGATATCCTTCAAACTGATAAAAACCTGAGTATAAAAATGAAAACTCCCCTCAACGCAGAAACTATGTAATTATTATTCCTGTTAATGCATTCTACTACCATTAGAACATTCATACACAAATAGGTCAAGAGGACATAACTTTTGTACCTCTGCCCCACTACTGGAGCAGATATACAAAAGATTCTTCTTTTTAGCTGTAGGTATTGACTGCTGACAATCAATGAACTGACTCCCAAAATATCTCCAAGTGATAAAGAAATAACCAAGTACATGTTGTTGAAGCTCACAGAGACTACAGGCAAATCTATGAGGGAAGCTATGCTTTCCTCTATCTCATAAGCACAAAGAAACAGGTGGGGAAATAAATTCCTCAGATGACTTAATTCAGTGATAATTTCCCAGAGCAGCTATGTAGCTTCACCTAAATTAATGAAGCTGTGAAGGATACAAGGCAAGAAAAAAAGAGACCAGCCATTAAGTGGAAATGTACTTCTTTTTAATTCTAATTTAAAATGCTTTCTAAAAAAATCAATGCAATTTGCATAGTCTCCATAAAAGCAACAAGTCAAAAAAAGCAAATTAATTGGTCTTATAAAAGTATACATGCCATGATAATGGTAAAAAGCGACACTGGAAACATTGGATGAATACTGCAAAATTCAACTGTAGAATAATCTTTGGCAAATATTTGTTGTTTAATGACGGTCTTTATTTTTCTGCTTTTATGTATCTCTGTACAACTGTATCAATCACACTAATTGTATTAAAATTTCTGAAAGTTCCAATCCTGAGATCTTCACATGAAAAAGTAATTATATGTAATAAAATCAGCAGGCCAGAACAGCCATACAAGAATGTGCTAATCCATCAGTGTAACACATATCTATGAATATCCGTGTTTTCACATCTATGAATACACACCATTCTTCAAGTATTTCTAATTTCTAAGCTAATTAACTGGTTGCATGAATCATCATAATCCATTTGTCTTTAGGACAATCTTGATGATTTAAGCATCCAACATATTGCTTCAAAAGCTTTTACCTCTGTTTTCTGGCTGGTGTATCTCTCTCTCTGTGTGGCTCTCCTTTCCAATCATCTCCTATCTTTTCATAATGAGAAGAACTGTAAGTTCCTGCACAGTCACTGGGCTATGATGGGATTAGGGTCACAGAGACCTGGGGATAGTGCACATCCTAGTGCACTGTTACAGATGGGTACCTGCTGCTCAGGAAGGAAAGGCAGAGAAGAGTAGGGAGAGCTACGTTGCATAGAAGAGGAGGTCCTTCACCACATAAGTCTCTTATGGAAGAGATGTCCACTGAGAACCTCTAGGTGAAGGTCATCAGGGAAAGGAACATAGGGTGCTGATAGAAGCCTGTTACAAAAAGCCTAATCAAGAAGATGAAATAGATGATGTTCTCTACAAAGCAATAGCAGAAGTCTTCTGACTGGAAGCTTTTGTCCTCGTGGGAAATGTCTAATCCTCTGCCATTCCTCAGGCCTCTTTCCTTTATACCTATCCATCATTTCCATTTCAAGCCTATTTACACCACCAAACCCTAAACATCGACATTGGTTTTAAACAACAAACTTGGATTAGGAAAAAAGTCCTCTGACTTTCGTGTCCAACCGAGTTCAATGCATTTAAGAGGCTGTGGCAGAGTTCTGCTACCGTTTTCATTGCAAACAAACCATGGCCACTGATCAGAACTGCAGATGACTCACGAATTGCTGTATTCACACCTTTTTACACACAAAGACAGTGCAGAATTTTAATTATTTCCCATTCATGTTCAAACTAGTTATTAATAAAAAGTATCAACCAGAGGCTCATTACAGATGATGACACCAAAAAGGTACCCTCAGCCATTCTTACTGTGTACTTTTTATTATCAGTGATGGTTTATCCCCTGTCATGTTAAGAAACAGAGATGACTGTTGTAGCATTGGCAATAAATGATTGGCACTGCTTATCACAACCAAGGCAATTAGTTTCAAGAATTCCTTCAGTTCAGTTGATGCTCTGCAGAAGTGATATATTTTAGCATAAAATATTGTTTACTCACCTGTCTCTTCATTCAGCTTAGTCCCATCTTCATTAGCATCATCTGTCAAAAAAAAATTGAAAGAAACTGATTATTAAGAATACCAGGAAATACCTGAAATTAAATATTCCATGTTTCAAATTGCTCATATCTTAGTTTGCCTCCTCTCATTTAACATTTTACAGTAAGATCTGGAGGTGGATGGGAAAAGAAGGCCTTGATACCGGACTGTTACGACCACATACAGGAAAAGCAGGGAATAAAAACGGAAAAAATTTTCAGCATAATTTACAGATTTCTGCAAATTATGCCTTGTATAAAATGAAATTGCATTACTTTTTCTATCAGAGTTTTTGCTTGTTAAGTTTCAGTTTGCTTTGTTACCTGAGAACAGCTGACTACGTTAAGAAGAGAACTAGTTATCCAGGAATCATATAACATGAAGAAGTTACTATGAATTTGCCACACTGGACAGTTTAAGATGAAACTTGGGCTAGCCAAGAATCGAACACTTGTCATTATTAAGATAATATATGAAGAAAACAGATTCTTTCCTTCTGCAAAAAGTTGCACTTCAGTAACAAAGGAATTTCATACTACAAGTGTTTTTGGTGAGATAAAAATCAGTAGCCTTAGTTAACATCTAAATAATTCAATGTTCCAGAGCATTTATCATCTAACAAAGAGCTTGATAATCACAGAACTTTATGTTAACTATGTTCCTAACTCATATAGACTCCATTTGTACCCTTTTAAATGGTTTTGGGCATGTGCAAATTCTGCAGCGAGCCTACAGTTCCCATTGAAAACTTGACATCTTTCAAACTTGTGTATGCGCATAGTATTCGGCCATTTGACCCCAAAGGAGTTTTGCAATATTATGGTCAATAGTAATAGAAACTAGCAGTAGTATTTAGGTCCTAAATATGCAGGGTCAGATCTTTATTTTGGATCTCCACTGAGATCCAAATGCTGTGACACTGGCACAGGTTGCCCAGAGAGGTGGTGGATGCACTGTCCTTGGAGACATTCAGCGCCAGGCTGGATGCTGTTCTGGGCAACCTGATCTAGTTGTAGATGTCCCTGCTCATTGCAGGGGGATTGGACTAGATGATCTTCAAGGGTCCTTCCAATCCAAACTATTCTATGACTCTGTAACACACACTATGAGGATTAAGTTCTGCTTTCATCAAGATATGGAGGCTGATACTTTATTTTAAGAATCATGAAGAACAGAACAACTGGTTAATAACAGAGGCCTTATGTTTGACACAAGCACTAAAATCACGAGGCCGAGAATTTTCATGGATGCTTGTGAACCTACAGTAGATGGATCTGTATCCATTCTTCTCCCCTTCCACCTCATTCAGACATGATCTGGAAGACAGGACTTTCAGAACCCCCTACATAGCAGCCAATAACATTTCTCTTGAGTACACTTTAGTCCAGCCCCAAGGACCAGGACTGAAAATTATCACTGCAGATTTTAATTCCTTTCTCCTTATTCTGCAAACAGTTGTTTTGGAGATCAAAAAGGCACATGGACCCCTACTGTACAAATATGAATTTTTACACAGAAACTTTAAGGAGTTTTGACAGGTAATTTTTGAGACAAGAAAATGAAAAATCTTGTTAAAGCCAATGGGAATACTGACACTGACTTCCACAGAGCCAGGATTTTCAACTGGAGTCCTGACATTTTTCAGCAAACCACTCAGAAAACATTTGGTTAACACAGAGATTATTAATTATTCAGTTTCCAATAACATGTTCTTTCCATGGAAGCATTTATAATGAAACCAGCGTGATAAAATTTCAAATTAATCTAAGACTTTACACTAAATCAGCAGAACATAATATCTTAACATACATATATCACCTGGTCTTCTGCGGAAGTTCTTAATTATAGTTCTGTAAGTGACTTGGAATCTGAAATTCCCACAGCAACAGAATAGCTTCTAAGCTGGTGATAATGGACTCAGACAAGAAATCTGATGTTATTAAAAAGTAGTGAAGTCATTATGCAATATAATTATGAGGAGGCAAAAACTGTTTTTGTGAACTAATTGTGAGTTAAAGGCTGTTTTTTCTGGGAACAGGAGCCTAAGTCTCACTAAAAGGCAGTAAAGTCCTTACATCATTTCTGAAAATGGGAACTGGGCTCCCAACTGCTTTGTGACATGATCTCTGGGTCATTGTGGTGCCTTTGTGGACCCCAATTTGGATCTGAATCTGAGTTGCACTTTGGCACACGACTCCCCAGTCACTCCATGTGTCTAGAATTCCTACTCTCACACTATGAATGTGTCTAGTGGAAGTGCTGCCCTGTTGAATATAAAGCGGTCTCTTTCACTGACCTTGGTGTGGCTGTCTGAAGTGATAAACACCAGGTTTAGTTGACAGAGCTTTATGCCAAAATCAATTACTTGAGATAAAAAAAAACAGTGCTTTAGAAATCAATATCCAAAATTCATTCCCTTTTCCCCCAAAAGAATCATATTACAGGCAGTTTCTTGGTTCCTGGTTCTGAAGAAGTAAAAGCAAGTAGAAGTATTTTTTATTGAAACTCTATACGCCTAATATGAAGCAAAATCAGTGACAAGGTGGCTATAAATTAGATTTGTAATACTTAGGTTTTGGGGTAGGTTTTTTATGTTTCCTATGAATTTTTCTTACCCCATCTAGAGGAAGCCTTCTGGAGGCTTGCTTTGGTTTGAAATACGCATCACAGACAGCAAATCTCAAAGCAAAATCCAGTAATAGCACAAAAGAATCCAAGAGTGAATCTTTGATACCAGTAAACACTTCCTTAAAAACATATCATCAATATTTCCTGGCCAAACTCCCCCACCTGACAGACTATAGCTGAGGTTCCTCTGTAACTCTCTCCTTTACTCAAGGGCTGGAGAAGGACTCTTCGTTAGAGAGTGTAGTGATAGGACAAGGGGCAATGAGTTAAAACTTAAACAGGGAAAGTTTAGATTCGATATAAGGAATAAGTTCTTTACTGAGGGTGGTGAGGCACTGGAATGGGTTGCCCAGGGAAGTTGTGACTGCCCCATCCTTGGCAGTGTTCAAGGCCAGGTTGGACACAGCCTTGGGTGACATGGTTTAGTGTGAGGTGCCCCTGCCCATGGCAGGGGGGTTGGAACTAGATGATCTTAAGTTCCTTTCCAACCCTAACTATTCTATGATTCTATGACTAGGAAAACATGTTATAGTGTGTGTATGCATGCACCCACTTTCATTACACTTTTGGCTACAGATGCAGAACAGCGACCTTTCACGTGGCTTCCTCATTAAAGCCCTGGATTTTGGGAAGCTCCACCAAGATGGCCTTGCTGGAAAAGGAACTGCAGACCTTGCAGCCCTGAGACAGAGGAAAACTGACAGTGATTCCCTGCAAGTGCCAGTCCACCCCTGAGAAAACACACATCAGTATTTAGAAGGCTTAGGATACAAGGAAGCCATCTAATCCAAAATGTGGGATATGGTTGAGAGTGCAAGATTTTCTGGCTTGCAGGTTGGGCTGTATGTAGTATATAAAATTAAGGTATTGGATTGGCAATGTATGGGAGAGCAGTTTCCAGTCCAGCATAAAACAATTTATAGCTGAGAGTCAACCTGTAATTGAAACTCACCCTCTAACTCGTGCTGTCTGGTGTAACTATATCTTGGAAGAGCACAGAGCTTTGCATTTGGGAGCAAGCTGCTTGGAATATGCACATTTATACAAGTCACAGGCTCCCTGGTAGAGTCATGTAGCAAGTGATACCTGTTACTCCTTCATTCCCCTCTCCCTTGTTAACCTGCCGAGCTCTGTGAAACAGAGTAATTGCACTATAGCTGCTCTTACTGACACCGGGGAAGAGGATGCCTTCTTCTGTCATATACTTTTTGTTTTTCCCTTTGCCTTGCTGGTGAGGTTCTTTCTCTGTCTCACTAGTCACTGCATGTAAGCAAACACAAGCCAGATGGCTAAGACCATCAATCTGTGTTAAGATTTATGTTAGGAACAGAGAGGTGAAAGGCTTTAAATACCACTGCTAATCCCCAAAGCCATTAAACTGCTGCCTCCTTGTTGCTCATGCTTCTATTTGCATTCTACTTCATGTTAGCACGCAGAGCCAACGCTGTACAAACACCTTTTATTTTTAACTGTGCATACACTGAAGAGCTCTTACTTGAGAGCCAGCTCAACACTGCAGGAGGCTGCTGTTTCATCTGCATTCAGGGCTTGCATCCCAGGCTGCCAGCGCTCCCTCAACACCACTGCTAGCTCTTCCCTGCCTTCCTCTAACCTTTCTTCAGCTGCCTCACTTCATCCTTCAGGTTTTGTTCCTTTTCTCAGCACTTTCTGCTGTCGCCTGATTTCATAGAATCACAAAATGGTTTGGGTTGGAAGGGATCTCAAAGCTCACCCAGTTCCAACCCCCTGCCATGGGCAGGGACACCTTCCACTAGAGCAGGTTGCTCCAAGCCCCTGTGTCCAACCTGGCCTTGAACACTGCCAGGGATGGGGCAGCCACAGCTTCTCTGGGCACCCTGTGCCAGCACCTCAGCACCCTCACAGGGAGGAATTTCTTCCTAATCTCTAATCTAATCTCTGTCAGTTTAAAGCCATTCCCCCTTGTCCTACCCCTACATGCCTTTGTAAAAAGTCCCTCTCCAGATTCCTTGTAGGCGCCCTTTAGGTACTGGAAGCTGCTCTAAGGTGTCCCTGGAGCCTTCCCTTGTACGGGTTGATCAAAATTTCCAGACATTCCCTCATTTTCAGCCAGCACACATGCCTCAGCCTGCTCCCCCTGCAAATGCAGCTCCATGTATTGAACATAACCAGGGAGGAGCTGGGAGGACACTGGGAACAGACCAATCTCCTCTCATCAGGCTGCAGGCACACGCACTGGCAACGGAGCAATGAGATGGGCAGAGCTCGACAGGAGGCTGAAGTGGCAAGTTGGTGATCGTACTGCTGTTTCAAAACAAGACAAACACAAAAGCCCCCATAAAACCTTCAGTACTGACAGCTTCAGCCATCCTGTTGAGCTTATTTACTATACGAA